TATGTTAAATTTTACGCCAGTAACTAACAGCGTAATATCTTTCAGTCAGTGATGTATATATGTAAGATATTACGCCAGTAACTAACGGCGTAATATCTTCCAGTCGGTGATATATATAATGTAAATTTTACGCCAGTAATACAGTTTAATTATATATTAATTTATTATAGTTAACCGACCAACATATTGGCGTAAAATCTTGGCTTGGCTCCGTATATGAAGAAATTTTTAGTTTTTCAGCCAAGGCTTTGGCTGTGCCAATTTTATGGCAGACAAATCGTACATCAGTCACTTAAGAAATTTTACAGCTCTTATCCTGGAAACTCAGACACTCTTAAGGAACATGACAATGTTTCACCTGATCACTCCTCATGTTCTTTCCCACTGAAATGTGGACAAAACTTTTAAAGAAAACCTTATTGTCTCACAATCGTCTCCACATTCAACTTCATGATTCATAGAAGTAAGATATTAACATCTTAATAAATAAATCAATAAATCAAATCTCAAACTTCAAGTTTTCGGCCTTTTTTAGCGTTTTCCTCTCACTTTGATCATCACAATACTCTCATCCGAAGAGCCAGCAAACGCCTTGAGTATCCGCAGAGTTAGAAATGATGGTAAACTTAGAATCCTCTTTCATCCCTCTTCAAAAAGTATTACAAAAAGGCGGTGATTACCTATTTGAAATCCCAGGAAAGCGCGCTGAATAAACTTGAAGTAACAAAACATTGCGTTCTATCAGGATCAAAAGATAAAGACAGTTGATACAGAGAGAATTGATCATGATGAGAAGATAGTCTTCTGTTACTCCATGGGAACAAGCCAATTTAAAAAAAGACTGGTACCGAGACTAGAAATTGTGTGAAAGCTAAACTAAGCGTGAGACGAGTTTAATCTCCACCGCTAACTGACCCTTTATCAAATTCGAGAAGAGGCTGACTTATCAGCTAAATGGTGTTCTTCGGATGTGCACAGTCGAACGTCTCTCTTGTAAGCTTCCAGGGAAGATTTCCTTTTATTTGTTTTTGTTGGAGCTCGAACAGAAGTTAATTCACAGTGTCCCTCGGGAGTGGGCAACGCATCTGATGATTTGAAACCTGCAAACGTTCAATTTTTAATGGGTGTTTCCTTACTCGGAACTGGTTAGATCAAATGACCACCACAAACCGTATAAT